TATCCCTTGAATGTAAGAAAGCTTGTATTTGGTGAACATTATATAGATCAAAAAGTAAAGTTCCAAGTAAGGACAATCTTTTATAATGATAAATTTAGAGATATATGTCCAAGTGCTTTCTTTGCTCCAGAGTGTCTCAAGTACTTGCCTTCATCTGCCCTATTAATTTCGTGCTCAGGAAGCCTGGAGCTGCTAGGTCTGGAAGGTGAACCCACAGATGGCTGCAATGAAGGAGTTCATCAACATCTCTCAAATTAGCAGGCATATCTTGTAGTTTTGACCTATTGGGCCCTAGCCAAAGAAAAGGGTAGGGACACAAAAAAGAGGGAACAGAATTATCGAACTGCCATCAAAATGGTACCACAAAACTTATTTCACATCTGCCAGCATTAACCTTTAGAAAAATCTTCATAGATGAATAAGAAACAATTATTTTCAAAGTTTTCATTTTATTCTAAAAGTTTGTCTTGAAAAACAATTATATTTTACATATATTTTATAAATTAAGCTAACAAATATTATTTCCATAAAAAAGAATACTTATGTCCTACGTTGATATTAAAACTCACATTAGTCCATACTTGAACCATTGAACAGTGCTCTAAATGAAGACAGATTTCAAAGACTGTGAGCCTACTATGTACCCAATTCAACAATAAAACCCATGTGTATAAATTAAGGTGCATTCACTGCCTTCCATCCTGAAGCTATGACACCCAAGATGAAGTCTCATTCCCTGCAGATTACTTACCTGAGCTTTGATTCTTCCTTCTCTCACATCCCTGTTTTGACTGTTTTCTGTAGGATAGAGGATGAAACAGATCTTCAGTAGTTTTTCCTGCTATAAGTTTAATTAAGAATGGGAAAATCTTACCCATAGTCTGTTATGGATTTCCCCTATACCAGCAAAGAATACAACTATTTCTAAGAAATTTTAACTAATACCTAGAAATATATTTCAAGATAGTAGGTCTGAAGTACACAATTTGACTGGAAATATTTCCATTAGACTAATTAAAAGAACTCAGATTTTTCCAGTGGGTACTGTTTTAAATAAAATTTTTGTAGTAGTTTATAAATTAGTGTTACATATACCAATTCAAAGTTTTGCTTCAATTCTTTTTCTAATCATAAATCTTAAGCTTGTTACCACATTGCTATTTTACCAAGACAACATGAACTAAAAATGAAAAACAGAAACTGCCAATGAGAGACATTAAAATTTCTCCCCAGAGTCATTTTCTTTTATTATACCAAAAAAAATGCTATATTCCTGAATATGGATCATTATCCCAAAATGAAGAAATCCAATTGCTTCTGTTAGTAGGAATACTGTTCCAGTCAAATGATGCACTTTTATATTTCACGTGCTCAATTCTGACTATAGTGACACCTTGATATTGTAAAAAGAACTAAATAATCAATGTAAGAATAGATGAATT